CAGCTGTGTCTGGGTCCTGCTCGTGGCTGCTGTCTGGCATGTGTGTCGAGGCTGAGGGGGTTTGTGCCCCTGGCATGGAGGCGCGGGGAGGGCAGGATGTTTAGATGGAGTTTGGCTTCTTGTGAGTTATGCTGAATACATACTTGAGAAAAACCTCCATGTAGGTTTCAAAAGCTAAACTTCCAGGAAATCCTTGTGAATGCTAAAGACGTGGACATTTGCAATAGGATGAAAGTTAATGCTTACACAGGGATTAATTTCCAGGTGAGGAAAAGGAAAGGAAGGAAAAGAAAAACACATTTGCCAAGGATAGTCATCAGGTCGTCTCCTCACATATTAGGCAGGAATTATTAATTCGTTGTTAAAATGAGGAAACAGAGGCTCAGAGAGCCCCGGGCTCCAGAGGAGGAGGCGGGAGGCTGGGAGTCAAAGGCCCTGCTCCCCACGAGGCCATGACATCCCCTCTCGTGGGCTGTGTGGGAGAACTAAGTTTCCAGATGTTGTACACCAGTGCAGGTGCACACTGGATTTTAGGATTTTAGGGTGTGATTTCTGTTCTGGACTAGAATGAACGTATTTTTCCATGAAAGTGTAGCTAAAGTGTAGAGTGAAAGTCCAAGGAAAGTATGAGTCAGGACAGGCATGCTGGCTTTCCACATGGCGTTTCAGGGATGCCGCCAGAAGCAGAAGTAAGAAGTTATGATAAAATAGACGAACTAGCTTCATGGGAGAGCCAGTACAGAATGTTGTCCAATCAGCTTTTCATTCATCAATCTCTGGTTAGGAGCAAGGCATAAAAACTGTTAGCATTTCGAAAGTGAGTTCAGTAAAGCTCCCTGGTAATCCCAGGTGACCCGTCTGTGACAGAGGCAAGAACGCAGGAACACTCCCCAATGCAGAAGAGGCAGGGAGTCCCCAGGGAAGCCGAATCTCAGAAGATAAGAGGACTGCCAGGTGAGGATGAAGCCGTGCAGGGCGGGTGGGTTAGAGCAGAGAGAACAAGAAGGACGCTACAGAGGATGGCAAGGAAGCAGCGCCTCCAGCAATGAACTAACTAGTCTGGTCTGGCTGCACAGAGGGTCGCATCCAAGAATGGCAGGTGATGAATGGATTGGCTGGTGGTTCAAGGGGGGCTAGGAGATTGGAGGGTGCGATTCCAAGATACGGCCACAAGGTGGTGCAACGACTACCAGGAAATCTGAAGAGGAAAGCAGCCTGACCCGCCCCTTTGTGTTGACACTCCCAGGGGAGAGGACCAGCTTCTAGAAGGCAGAAAAGTCACCTACCATGTTAAACTGTTGCTGCAGTTTTTCATTAGCGTAATTGATACAAAATTGTTCAAAGCTGTTCACATCAAAGGTTTCAAAACTGAAATACAGTTTAAACAAGTAAAATATAACTTGAAGTAGAACAGATATATCAACTACAGGTATTTTTCACAAACATCATAGCTGAGAAGTTTTCTCAATGTTTTAAATATACCTTAAAGCTTCTGGTTCTAATATCCTGGCAATGTATAAGTTACCCTTTTCCGGTCATCTTCTGGAAGGAATCTGGTGTGGAAAAAACACCCACCACTCCAGTCCCAAAACAGGCATGCTGGGACCAGCAGGTGGCATAGTGGTTATGTCAATGGACTCCTATGTAGTTGACCAAGGTTCAAGTTCCTGACTCAGCAGCTTAAAACTCATGCTGGGCATGTGTGCGTGCGTGCCCAAGATCCCAAGAGGAGAGTGGAGAAAAAGGGATTGTGGTGTGGCCATCCCCTTAGGGGTGATTTCTCACTTTCTGTCTCTCTGTCTCTCTCTGCCTCTATGGTGAGTACGTGTGTGCCCTATAGTAAAAATCTCTCTAAAACAAGCAAACCCAGGCATGTTATGGGGCCAGCAGGTGGTGTGGCAGTTAAGGCATTGGACTTCCCCATGGCTGACTGCAGTTTGAGTCCCGGACCTGGTGGCTTGAAAATCACACTGGGCTTGTGTGTGTGCACGCCCAAAATCCCAGGAGGAAAATGGAGGAGAAGGATTGTACATAGTCATCCTCCCCTGGAGAGTGATTTTTCACTTTCTCTCTCACTGTTTCTTTCTGGTGAGCACACGTGCCCTATGACAAAAACCTAAAAAATACAAATAAATAAATAAAACAGGCATAGCACAATGCGGCGTGTCATTTAATCCACACAAAAAGTTGACATCGGCATTACTGTATTCACTTTATGAATCAGACAATAAGACTCTGGGAGGTTAAGAAACTTGCCTAAAGCCACACAGCTTGCGTCAGAACTCAGCCATGAGCCTGCCCGACCTTGATGTCTGTGCTTTCAGTGAGAGAGCCATGTGGTTTCCTGCTCCCACTCCTTGTCCGTTGAGGAAGCCCCCATTGTGCCTCCCCATGGGTGCTTTCAGAGTTCGTGGGGGAAGAGGGCAGGGTCACTGAATACCTTGCAGCCCGGCAGACACTGTTAGGTGCAGGATAGCCACCTCCTCACAGTTTCAGACCCCCAGGGTGGTCCCTGTAGTTGCCCAGAGATGCAAACACAGGAACCGAGAGGACCCAGGCAGGTGACAGAAGTAGGAAGTGGCTGGATGTAACACGCCGTGAGCCGAGCGAGGCCGGCGGCAAACCAGACCGTCCTCAGGGGCAGCTGCTCCTCAGTCCCGCCAGCCGCAGCCATAGACGAGTGCAGGCCGGTGTGGCCGGTGGGCTGCTCCTCAAGGGAAGCCAGAAATCTGGACTTTGACGTGAATGATCTCACTCTGAGAGCCAAGCAACACACGGGCACCAAATGGACGGCCGGCGGCCAGCACGCCTGCTGCAGGGGCTGCGAGCGCGTCATGGTGCCGGCAGCTGTGCACGTCACCTCCCCGCCCCAGCTCTGCTCTCATGGAGGACTGCTATGACCACTGTGACACCCCAGGGCCGGAGGGGGTGACCATGGGGAGGACCCACAGCAGCAAGCAATGCCAGAAATGCAACCTGACCCCAGCTCCTGTGCCTCCAGAGCTTTCGTCCCTAATCGCGCTAATCCCAGAGGCTCCGGCCAGCTCCAGCCGAGGACCGCTGGGAGTCTGGCTTGGCTGAGCTGATTTGGCTCAGGTGAGAGTCCCTGGGCCGGGAATGGTCTGCATGGTCCTGTAGACAGCCCGGGGACTCAGAGCAGGAGTAAAGCCCACCCAGCGCTGACAGCTTCTCTCCACCGCAACCTTGGTGGTCCAAAATCCCAGGGGCTGGCCAGGAGTGGGCCTGCACGGGGTCAAAGGAACCCAAAGCCCACAGCTGGGGCCACAGGCAGGGCCTCCCAGAACAGGGCAGAACATCAAATGTTAGTGATAATCTTCAGGCGCTCAGAGCTGAAGTTTAACCCCATGGAAAGACCTAAGACTCTGGACTTAAAATGCCCGAGGCGCACGGCTGGCTGACTGCTCACACGAGCAGAGCTTATGGTTTCCCAAATAGTGACTTCCTTCATTTGATCGTCTGGCCAGAGAGGCTCCATCTTACAGACACACGGACGGGAGGTAGGGGCGGTCCTGTGACTTTCTTGGGGTCCCACTATGGATTTGCTGCAGAGCTGACCCTAGACCCAGGCCTTCCAACTCCGGGTCCAAGGTTCATGGAGTCACAGCCTCCCTGCTGCTCTGAGCTAAACCCTGGAGCCACAGCTTCGCTGTCAGTGGGGCTGACTGGCTGAGCTCCATTCTCTCAAGAGCTGTGGGGTGCACTTGGGTGAGGGTTTACCTGGACAGGAGCTGCTGGGAACAGTGGGGAAGGGTTTGCCCCAGCCCGCAGCACTGCCACTGGGGGGGAGGGGAGCTCCCTGTTGTGAAGGGGCACCAGTAATTCATAAGTGGCAGCAAGAATGATATGCTTTAAATATCTAGAGAAAACTTCAATATTAAAATTAGAAATTTTAATATACTCTAACAAGTTTCCATGAGTTTGCAAACAATTTTGTGTCAGGTTTGTCCACTCCGACAAAAAATTTCCATTCCTGATTGCAGTGGTGCTCCAGCCCCGGGGTCCGTGGGGGGACCAGGCCTGCCTACCAGCTGCTGGCCTTACCTCGACCTTGCTCACGGCACCCCGCACCTGCCCCAGCCAGCCTCTGGCACACAGCCCCTCCCTCCCTTCATGGGGATCACCCCAACCACTGCCAACTGTCTGCTCTTCCCCTTGAAATTTACATCCCAAGAGGGCAGGGACCATGTATGTCTTTTTTGTTCCCAACTACGCCCAACACAGTGGCTGGCACACAAATATCTGTTGGAGGAAATAAGGAAATAATATACTTTTTTTTTTTTTTTTTGGAGAGGTTTTTGCTATAGGGCACGTGCACTCTCCAGAAAGAGAGGGTCAGAGAGAGAGAGAGAAATCACCCCCCAAGGAGGATGGTGACGCTGCAATCCCTTCTCCTCCAGTCTCCTCTTGGGATCTTGGTCACGCACGCACACGTGACTGGCATGAGTTTAAGCCACCAGGTCTGGGTCTCGAACCACAGTCAACTACATGGGAGTCCAGCGACATAGCCATTACGCTAACTGCTAGTCCCGGAAATTATATACTTTTAAGATAAATGGTTGGTTTTTTGTTTTTTAGGTTTTGTCATAGGGCACATGCACTTGTTGGAGAGCGACAGAGAGAAGGCAAGTGAGAAAGCACCCTCTCTCCTCCTTGGGGACATGACCATGCACAATCCCGTCTCTGTTTCCTTCTCGGGATTTTGGACACACATAAACACATGCCCAGCTTGAGTTTTAAGTTGCCAGATTTGCCCTGTGGCTAGCCATGTGGCAATCCAGCACTTCAATCACCTTGCCACCTGCTGGCCCCAAAGGGCTGTTAATTTAAATACTTTTTTTTTTTTTTTTTTAGAAAGAGATTATTGCTATAGGGTGTGTGCACTTGCTGAAGAAAAGCAAGTCAGAGAGGCAGAAATCGAGAAATCACCAGGGGGGATGACCAAACTGCAATCCCTTCTCCTCCTTTCTCCTCTCTGGATCACAGGCATGCACACACATGGGCTCTGGTGTGAGTTTCAAGCCACTAGGTCTGGAACTCAAACCACGGTCAACTACATGGGAGTCCAGTGACATAACCATTACACCATCTGCTGGTCCCAAAGACATGTTTTAAACACAGAAAAGAATAGGGAATCGTATCTTAATCACATCTTTCTACCACAATGAAAGACGTTATTTTAAGCCAGGACTATTACTTCATGAAAGTTTACTTCAATGTTTACCTCTGCTCCAATCCTTTCTTGGAACAAGAGAGGGTAAATAACGTGCTAGCCCAGCCCAGCAGGTTTGTGCTTTCTCACCTGAAGGTACTGGTAGCCGGAGGCATAGACAGTAACTGGGGATCCAAACTGAACAGGGACCCCCGTGGCATCTTCTCACAGTAAGGCCGTGGGAAGAGCCCACACCACTGCTCCAACACCAGTTCCACAGCAGGGCTGCGGCCCCCGCCCATGCCTGCAGGGGGCAGCTGTGGGGACAGTCCATTTGTAGGGGGAGTGGGAGACTGCGCTGCTTTCCACCATGGTTGGGGGAGGACCCTCTCATCCATGGGATGTTCCATGATGCCTTTCATGGGACAATCTCCCCCCACTGCTGCCCAACCAGGGCTGGCCCTGGGGCAGGGTCCAGGCCAGGCACTGAGAGTAGTTGGTGATAAGTGAAGGTCCAGGTGACAGCGGCCCCTCAGAGCCAGCTCCACCAGCTTCTGCTCTTTTCCCTAGTGTCTTGGACAGGAGCCGGGCCTGGGGCCTTGTGAAGCAGGACAGGCAGAGAGGAGAGAACAGAGCTCTGACAGGGAGTTACGCCCATAGGGTACTGGATCTCTCGGAGAGGGGCTGGGGCAGAGGGGACACCTTCTCAGCTGAGAACGGAAAAACATCTGGATGCGTGTCCACCTCTGGCCCCGTGAGCTGTGCAAAATATGCCTGTCATGGCTTTCCTTGCCCCTAGGAACTGGGAGAGGTGCTAGGGCTCTGCATCTCAAGGGGGCTATATGGGGAAGAGACGTGGCAAAACCTCCAGCGAATGTTGAATCCTTCTGAGCCTTGGCTGTCATGTCTCTGAAACGGGGATAATGGTAAGGTTGCTCAAAGACTAAAACTCTGCAGAAACCAATCAGCACGGAGCTGGGGAACAGCTCCTGAGGTCAGCCATCATACCGGAGCCTTTATTTAGTGCACTCAGAGAGCCTGAACGGAAATTCATGCAAACACAGAGGACGTGGACTTTCTTATCATGCAAAACAAGAGAGGAGAACCAGAACAAAACGATGCCAAAGTAACCGGGCATTCGACATTTAAATGAGGAGAGACGGGCTCACGAAGAGAACCTTACCCATAAATGTCCAAAACACCAATAAAAGTGTGCTGCTTGCCTGAGAACTGCAACGCTTGGTTGATTCTCTCCACGATGAAGTCGAACAGCTGAGCATAGATCTTTTTGGCCAGTGCGTCCCTGGCGTTGACAGCCTGGGGCCTGGTCATGGGCTTCACCACTGTCTCAGAGGTGGTGACAATCTGGCGATGGCACAGCCACTGAGCGACTTTGCCACTCTCCAGGCCCAGGAGCTCGCAGAACACCGCCAGGTGACCGTCATCCTCCTGGAAACAACACAAGCCCCGTCAGGGTGGCTCGGCCGCCCAGAGCAGCACACCCCACCTGGCCAAGGCAGGGGCCCAGCCCCGGGCCTGTGTGTGGGACGCTGTGTAGACGGCCTGAGGATGACCAGGTCTCGGGAGAGAGGCAGGCTGGGAGGAAGGAACAACACAGGAGGGGCCACGGCAGCACTGACCCTACACTTGCCCCGGGCAGGCCAGCGCTGTGTCCCACATGAATTTTTCATTCTGACCAAAAATGTCAGGGGCAAGTAAGGCCATGGAAGCTCCTCTCCCCCAGCTCCTGTGCTGTGAACGCAGCTGCCAGCCCCTTCTCCCCTTTGCACCAGGCACCTGTGGGAAGGTGTGCTCTCCCACCCCACCTCATGTCTGGCCCAAGAGGGCCCTGGGTGTCACTGTCAGAGAGAGCCTGTGGGTGCCCATGGCTGAGTCAGCCTCTCAGCTGACACAGGGCCGTGACAGGCTTTTCCTGGGTGCGTAAAGCAAAGCTGGCTTCTTCCCAAGCCTGGGCAGGCGGGCTGCCCATCAGCCAGAAGACAGCAGAGGGAGGCGGTGCTCCTTCTGTCCCCAGCCAGCATGGATGGGAGGGGGCGGTCAGGGTGGGGGACACTCTTGACACCTGGCAAGGGGCTGTGATCCCATGAGACAAGCACCATCGTTCCTCTGAGCAGGGGCGCCTCCCAGGCACCACCTCAGCCAAGCAGGAAAACCATGTGACTGAATTTATTTTTTTTTTAATGAAATTGAATATGTTATTATTTCTTATTTTGCTGAAAAGCTGTTGCTTCAACTGTATAAAACAGCGCCAGCAAATGTAGTATATTGCAAAACTAAAATACTACTGTTCTTCGACACCATGCAAGGAACAACAACTTCTGTGCACTCCCAGTTATTTTCAATGGGGAGAAAATGAAGAATTCTGACCTCAATCCAGGGATGGATCTAAGCGAGATACAGTGCTATATACGGCTTAGGATAACAGTGTTATCACTAATTACGCCATCCTTATAATTTGTTTTATCACAAATAATTTCACAAATTCTGAATACATATGCCTATCCTAAGAATCATAGAATATCATGAAAAAGATGCATTTTGTGCTTATTGAAAATATGACCATTAGAAAGTTAAGGTGTATTTTTTCCAGTAGTAGTGTTCAGAGTAATTTCTTTTTCCGCTAGTATTGCTAAAGTTGCTATTTTAAATAGTGTAAAACAGCCTAGTCCGGCACGTGACTGCACTGAAAAAGCATCCGAATGGGACGGAGGGAGCAATCAAGAAAGCCCCGTGGCCTTCTCACGCTCCACCCACACCCCTCCTGACCACCACGGCAATAATGGTGGTCTGGGGTGGGGACTGGCAGTGCCACCCTTAGAAGGGGCCAGACCCTCTGAGTCAGAGAAAAGAAGTCAGCTCTAACTGCTACGGGAGGAAATGCAAAAGGCAGTAATTCTTTAAAGAGCAAGATGTTTCTCCCAAATTTAATTTGTCTAAGATTTCAAGTTTCTGATATAAATGAATGGCATATATGACAAAGTTGGGGCCAATCACGATAGGGCTGGTGGGTTTGTATAAACACTACTTTCCAAAGGATTTTTGGTTCATCTATTTTTATTCTTCCTCAAAAAAAAAAAAACAAAAAACAAAACAAAACAAAACAAAAACAAACAAACAAAAAACTAGCTTCATGATGACCTTCAAGGGGCAGAGCCAACATGATGGCACTGTTGGGTGGAAACCATGGTTTTAGTCTATGGGAGCCCGAGAAGACAGAGGGCGGAAGCCCAGCTTCCCTGAGGAAAATGAGTGAAGAAAGAGGGAACCTGCCATGCCAGGTGTGCCACACCTTGGAAGCTTCTAGGCTACAGTCACCTTTCTCCAATTTCCCAGACCCTCAGAAATGGACTAATGCCATGAGGTCTGGAAGTTAGGGACCGTAAGATGGACACTGAGTGTGAGAGTTGCAGGACAGGAAGGAGAGTTCCTTCCTGGTCACAGGATGACGAGACTAAAGCACTGAGCCTCGGGGCTCACACTCTGCCCTGCAGCTTACTGTACCAAAATCACAGGTGCAGAGAGCTGAAAAATCACCCAGTGGCACAAAATTAGAAGCCATTCCCATCAGTTATCCAGGGACCATGAAGACAGACACGGCACTGTTAGGGACTGGACGTGTCCCCACCAAATCACCTGTGGAGACACTCAGCCCAGTGTGATAGTATTTGGAGATGAGATCTTTGGGAGATAGGGTAGGTCAAGAGGGTGGGGCCCCATGATTGGTTCAAGTCCTTAGAAAAAAAGACATCAGAGAGCTAGCCCTCTGTCCATCGTATGAGGACACAGGGAGAAGGTGACCATCTGCAAGCCAGGAAGAGAGCTTTCACAGAATCCAACCATGCTGGCACTCTGATCGCAGACTTCTAGCCTCCAGAACTGTGAACAAATTCCCAGAGTTGGAAGCTGGTGGTATTTAGTAGTGGTAGCCTGACTTGATTAAGATAGATGTGGTGATATAAAGCTTTCGAGGTCTAGGGTTTTTGTTTGTTTTGTTTTTTAGTTTTTTCCTATAGGATGTATTTGCTCACCAGAGAGAGACAAAGTGAGAAATCATCTTGTAGGGGAGATAGTCATGCTGTAATTCCTTCTTCTCCACTCTCTTCTTGGGATTTTGGGCATGCACACACATATGCCCGGCATGTTTTTCAAAGACACCAGGTTCAGGACTCAAACCACAGAGTTAACCCTGTGGGATCCAATCGTCTTAACCACCACACCACCTAGCTGGCCCAAAGGTATGAAGATTTTGCATTTCAAAGAAACTTTATTTTACACACATACCTTCTACTGAGAGCCATTACTCTCAATAGTGATTTCAGGGGACCAGCAGATGACAATGGTTATACCACTGAACTCCCATGGAGTTGACCATCTTAGAGTCCTGGACCTGGTGGCTTAAAACTCATGCTGGATATGTGTGTGTGTGTGTGTGTGCCCAAGATCCTGAAAGGAGAATAGAGGAGAAGGGATTGTGGTGTGGCCATCCCCCCCTACACACACACCTGGGGGTGATTTCTCACTTTGTGTCTCTCTGGTGAGTCTACTTGCCCTATAGCAAAAATCTCTCTTGAAAATAAATAAATAAATTAGTAATTTCAGAAGAGACAATGCACATACATTTATCTTGTGCTGATTAAGTGAAGAAATTGATCACGAAACTTCCATGGGAATGTATTATCAGAGGCAAAGTCAGCATGATGGACATTTGATTCGTGGGTGCAGAGAGGTAGGAGGTTTTCCTTTTGTTTAAAACCGTCCAGTTCCCTTAAGACCCTCCTTCACGGTGTACGCCCCCACTCCCTATCTGTGCTCTTTCCCATCCCTCCTTTCACCTTGCCTCTCTGGACATAGCCACTTCCTGCTGCTTCTCAAACATTTCCTGCCCAACGTCTATGCACTTGCTGTTGCTAATTGGAATGTCTTCCCCCATACACAGGCCTCGCCCACGGCTACCTGCCCACTGCTACCTCACGAGAAAGGCTTCCTCTGACCACCCCTGACAAAGGCACAGCCCGGCGCCCCACCCCTCCTCTGCTTCGTGTCCCTTTGTGACAGCCATCACTAGCTGCCACAGCCAGTTTGTCTGCTGGTCTCCTTCCCTCCCCTCCTCCAAATCATAAGCTTTATGAAGTGACTTCTCGTTTCATGTTGCCCATTGCTGTTTCCTCAGAGCCTACGACAGCCCCGGCACATAGTAGGTGCTCCATGAGTATTTGTTGAATAAAAACGAAACCCCGGGCCACCTCCACAGCATCCCGGTTAAGTGGGTGAGCACACAGTGGAATCCCAGACCTGCCAGTCTGAGAAACGAACTGGGCATGTGTGCACACGTGCCCGAAATCCCCGAAGGAGGGAGAAACGGAGAAGGGATGGCTGCGTGATCATTCCCCAGGGAGATGCCTTCTCCTCTCCCTCTCTCTCTCTTTGGTGAGTGCACATAAAACCCAGAAGAAATGCTTTTTCTCTCTTCCATAGCCCTGAAAACACTTGCTTCCTTGTTCCTGTTAAACTAGTCTATCCAGAAGGTCCAAAGGTGGCTGGTGTTAAAATGCAAGGCAGGTCAGCCATGAGCTGTTCTGTGTTGACCCTCGAGCTCAGGGAAAGTTTCCCAAACAGGTGTCTCACCCTGATCGAAGCCCTCTCGTTGCCCACTGCGGTGATCTGCACGTTGCCCAGATGGAGGATGGCGGCCAGGATCTTAAAAACATCCATCTGAAAATCCTCCTTGAAACCTGAAAACAACATTTTCCCCAGTTAGGAATGCTGCATGTCTTCCCTTTCTAGAAAGATCAGCCCCTGGGCTCCCTCGAGACACCCTAGCACCGTCAGTGCCAAGAGCTGGGACAGGACGCGTGCAGTGCACTCCAGGAAGAATCTGGTTCACTCCAGTTCAGCTCCCAGAGACAAGCGAGGGAAAGGGGACCCACTAGGCTTCCCCCTCGTCTGGGCTGCGAGGTGGCCCAACACAAAAATCAGTATGTGAGCTACCATTTGAGAAGGAAAGCAGTTCGGAGCAATCTGTGGAAGGGGAGAGCCCTTTCAATTTTAATGGCCTCATAGAGGAATGGGATGAGGGTTATTGCCCACAAAGCGCGGTTTAGTTTAAGCAAGCGGAGATGCATGCAGTTAAAACGGGGCTCTACTCTTGGTCCAGGTCCATTCCAGTGTTCTGGAGTTCATGCTTAGAGAACAGTGCACAGCCCATCACTCTGCTCATGCTGCTTTACATGGGCCAAAGGGAGCTCCTGACAAACAGCTGTGACCTCCCTCTGATAAAGCCCTCTCGAGGCCAAGGGTGTCCGTCTTTTAGGTGGAATCTGTGTCACCCCAGTCACTTGTCCTCAGCCCTCGGCGCAAACTTTCGCTTCACTTACTACATCTCACATTCCAGGTCAGGTCCCTGGGAGGGTCCACGCTCACTTATTCTATGTGCTTCATTTTTAATGCTTTGCTTTTTGCTCGCAAGCTCCTTGAATTCTTTCTAGGGTAAGATGTGGAAAGGACTCCCATTGCCCCTCTAGAGGCTCTGCTCTCTGCTCCAGGAAACCGACCTGGATGGACCAAGGCAACAGGCTCCCGTGCTGTCTGGCCCCCGGCCGGGTTGATTAATGAGGGGACCTGGAAAGCAGTCCGAGGAGGGGAGGCTCTGAGCGGGCCTTCATCCGGTTTCCCAGCACGTGTCCTCGGGCTGACGTGTGGCCACCTGACAAGGTCACCACTCCCGTTCTGGCGCCGACTTTACCCAACACTCCCTTCAGGCTCTAGTAACGGCTGTGCCCATTGTGCCCGAAGGGGAAAAGCGGGGACTGATGTTGCCACTGTCCCTGGGTCCCTGGGTCCCGCTGCCTTGGCAGCTCTCCAAGGCTCTGCCCACACCTTTGTAGGTGGTCCCTTCATAAATAAACCTTCCTCTTCTGTCCTATTTTGAGTTTGCCTCATGTTCCGTCGGGACTCTGACTGATGTAGGTGGAATATGAATTATGAATACATAACATATTCCACCATCACAGACGATTAGCACATTTTCTGGAGCTGAAAATACACTCGGCCAGCTGCTAGGAAGGACTTTATGCCGACCCCAGAAATCACAACAGAGGGCCCGCAGGGAGAGCTGGGCTTTGCCAGGTCAGGGTCCCGGTGTGAGTATTGAGGTGTCACGGCTGGAGGTGTCCTCGGGCAGGTGGGGTAGGCTCCCTGGTCTTCACTGGAATGAAAATGGGAGGAGTGGAGGCTAAGGACTCCCTCCACTCCCGCAAGGACAAATGCTGCAGGCCCCATGTGCGAGAGGCCTCCACAGCTACCCACTGCCTTCCACTTAAGGAAATCCGGGATGGGATGTTTCCACAGCAGGGAGGCCAGGCTCCTAAATAACTTCCTATCTTACAGTCTTCTCTACTTTAAAGAAGAATAACTCAAGGTAGCAGAAGATTTCAAACCAAAACTATGTGGAAGATTCCAGCTCAAACTGAGTGCAGTCTTTGCAGCCTTTCCATTTGGAGTTAATTCCTCATCTGAAGGACAGCCTGTCTAGCGGAAATAGACCACAGGGTAAATGATAAAGAAAAGCAACCACATGGCAAAGCACGGGCGCTTCATTCCGCCACTCCTACCAACGCTCTGCACTCCGTGACTAAGTCACTTAATCACTGCATGTCTTCCAGGAACAAGAAAGTGAGAACTACCCCAAAGCAATCATGGTGCCACAGTGTCAGTGTGCCCCCACCCCCAAATTTATGTGTCAAAATTTGGTTTCCATGAGCTTTTGCTTTCTTGCCATGTGCTGCCTCACACGGGACCCTGCACTCTGCAGAGAGTCCCCACCAACAAGACTCCTGCTGGATGCAGCTCTTTGACCCTGGACTCCAAAGCCATGAAATGAATATACATTTAGTCTTTTTTTAAAGAGAGACTTTAGCTAGTGGGTGTGTGGGCTTCCCAGAGAAATAGAAAGTGAGAAATCACCACCCCCACCACCCCGGAGGGATGGCCATGCTGCAATCCCCTTCTCCTCCCTTCTCCTCTTGGGATCTTGGGCACGCACGCACACGCACCCAGTGTGAGTTTTAAGTCACCAGGTCTGGGACTCGAACCACAGTCAACTACATGGGAGTTTAGTGACATAGCCATTATGCCATCTGCTGGCTTCAACATTTATTCTTTATAAATGACCTGCTCTGTGGTACTCAGTTAAGAAGCAATAGAGAATGGGTGAAAACGATGGGAAAGAACGAATTTAAGACCTCAGTGAAATCATTCTCTCTAGTGAGACAAAGCCACACAAAAGCAAAGCTGGCTGGAAGTAGGTTTCGAGGAGGCGCGCACTGGTCCTGTGCATGGGCCTGAGGTCCAGGCTAGGTCTGAATGCTTCCAAGTCAGAACCAAGGGCCGTGACAACAGCAGGAGCAGTGGCTGAATCAAATGAGAAAGGAACGGCAGGACGACAGAGGAAAGGCACTCCTTACAAAGGGCAGCCCCTCTGCTTCCTCAGAGGGTAATTCCACACTAGCTAAGACACCCGGGGCGCAGAACCAGGAGGAAAAGGGAGTGGGACGCGCCCTAGGCTCTGGCCTCAGTTCTCGGCAGGTACCATCTCATCTCATCTCAGGACTATGTAAGAACTAGCACTGTCCGCATTTTACAGAGGAGGAGACTAAGACAGAGTAAGGTTTGGGAACCCGCCCCAGGTCAGGCTGGTATGTCATAGCTGAGCAGTTTAACGTCTGTAATGAAGCCCACTGCAAAGTGTGACAATCCCTACAGAGTTCACAAAGCCATCTTATGGACAGCTTCACTCCAGTGTCTAATATAAATAAGTACCAATTGAGTTTATCTTATTTTTTTAAAGAATTTTTTTTATTTAGTAGTATTATTTTAAAATTTTCTATAAGGAACACGTGTTCACCCCAGAAGAAAGGGGGGAAGTGAGAAAGCAAGCTGCTAGGTCCAAGACTCAAACCATGGTCAATCATATAGGAGTCTAGCGACTCAACCACCACACCACCCACTGGTCCTGAGTTTATCTTATGATTAAGGAATGTTTAAATTGTCGTCTTCGAACCAGCAAGGGAGGAACCAAATCTAATGGTAATTTTGCTCAGGAAACCATCTGGCTTTCGTCCTCAGCTACTCAATCATACTCTTCGTGCACCAAGTAGAAACTCCTTGCCTTTTACACTCAGATGTGGTCAAGCAGGCCACAGAAAACAGACAGGAGTGGTGGTCTGAGATTTCTGCACGGTGTAAACAGCCTGGAGTCTTATTGAGGAGACACTTTTGCTGGCAGTTCTAGGTGATGTCTAGACCAACACAAAATGAGAAGGTGAATGACTAGTTTTACAAATGCCACGTGGTAGACAGCCTTTCTGCACGTGAGCTCCACGTGGGCAAAGGTGGAGCGAGGTCAAGAATAACAGGCTGTCCCGTGAGCGGTACCTGCTCCAACTGCGTCGGCATTCAAGGAGATGCTTTGGTTTTCTGTCTATAAACAAGACGTTTTCTGACTCCAGACTACAAAAACCAATTGTTCTGTACGAGCCATGTGACCATGGGTTAATCACTTAGCATCGTGGTACCTCAGGTTCCCCACTGTAGAAGGGAGAAATACCAGCACCTACTTCGCAGAGTGGCTATGTAGTCTGAATGAGTTCATATAGGCAGTGAAGGGCTTGGGCTGGTGCTGGCATGGCGTAAGCTCCATGTAAGTGTCGCTATGTTATTCTCATTGTGAAGAAGCCTACGGAGGCCAAGTGGGGTCAATGCCACACTTCAGATGTGAGGTAGACCGCTGCTCCAGCTGTCTTCCTTTTTTAAAAAATTATTTATTGGGACCAGCAGTTAGCGTAATGGCTATGTTGCTGGACTCCCACGTAGTCGACTGAGGTTCGAGTCCCAGATCCGGTGGCTTAAACTCATGCCGGGCGTGTGTGCGTGTGTGCCCAAGATCCTGAGAGGAGAATGAAGGAAAAGGATTGCGGCGTGACCATCCCCCCTGGGGGGTGATTTCTCGCTTTCTGTCTCTCAGTCTCTCTCTGTCTGTCTGGCAAGCGCACGCACCCTATAGCAAAAACCTCTCCAAAAAAATATATATATTTAATTTGTTATTATGAGGTTTTTTGTTTTTTCTTTGTTTTAATTTGAATTTGACAGAGAGAGACACACACACTGAGAAAAGGGAAAACAAGAAAGCAAGCCACCAGGTCCAGGATTCGAACTGCAGTTAGTAATGTGGGAGTCCAGGACATTAACCACCACATCGCCTGCTGGCCCCTCATCCGTCTTCTTTGAAGCCACCTCTGAAGGGTTTTTGAGCACCCAAAAGACTTCAGGCCCAAGCCTCTAAAAGCACACCCACAGACCTAAAGAGGAAATGTGTTAATTCCTAGTTTTATTTGTGTGTGTATTGGGGGGGGGGGGGGGGGGGAGGTTTTGGGGGGTAGAGATTTTGCTACAGAGTGTGTGATCTCACTAGAGAGACAGAGAAAGAGAGTGAGAAATCACCTCCCAGAGGGTATGGCCATGCCACAGTCCCTTATCCTCCATTTGTTTCTCAGAATTTTGGGTACACATGCACACATGCCTGGTGTGAGTTTCAAGCCACCAGTTCTGGGACTTGAACTGCACTAGCTAGCGTCTTAAACACTATACCACCTGCTGACCCAAATTTCTAGCTCTTTTAAATCAAAAGCACAGTTCGAACCACTCAGTCTCCAAATATATTATGATCAGCTCATTCTAAAATCAAAACTTATGAGGAGTCTTCAGAACACATGCAGGCCGGAACTCCTACCTTCTCTTCCCTTTCTTTTCTTTCTTTCTTTCTTCTTCTATTTCTAGAGGAAATGGCCACCTCGTTGCACAGGGGACTCTCACTTACCCAGTAACTTGAAGGTCTTCTGAGTCTCTATCATGTCGGCTCTGTCATTCACACCCTCGATAACCGTACTGCCTCCCATTCTCGTGTAATTAAATTCTTCCGCACTCCCTGAAATCAGAAATCAGGATGTTATGTCTGTAACAGATTCGAACATTTAATGAGCTATGTCAAGCGCTTTTCATATTTCCATTTATTCCTCAGAATTCTGTTATGGGGCCAGCAGGTGGCGTGGTGGTTACAGTGGTCGGCCCACATGGCCGACCATGATTTGAGTTCCAGACATGGTGGCTTGGAAAATCAGGCCGGGCACGTATCCATGCCTGCCCAAAATCCCAGAAGGAGAATGGAAGAGAAGGAATTATAGCATGGCCATCCATTCTGCGGAATGTGTTCTTGCTTTCTCTCTCACCATCTCTTTCTGTGTCTCCCCAGCAAATGCATGCATCCCAGGGGAAAAAAAACGTTAAAACAAAAAGAAAGAGGAATTCTATATTACAAATGCAAAAGTTGAAGCTCAGAAAAAGTGAAGCAACTTGCTCCAGGTCCCACGGCTGACAGTAGGGCAAGAATTTAGATGCAAACCTAACTCTAAAGTTCACAGGTGTGGTTTCTGTTTCCACACCTGACATGTTTATATAGTGTTTTGAGGTTTATTGAAAGTACATAAATGGCACACACACAATTAGGTGAGTTTTCACATACATCTGTCCTACATTATCACACATCATCACTACGATCAAGAGAATGACCACATGTACATCTCATCTGTGACCAGCAGAGCCTCCTTCAGAAAGCCCTGCTTCCTTCGTGTTCACTGAGCACATTCTATACTTCAGTCAAGGCATGGACATTGATCTCATTTGAGATCTGCAGAAACTTAGATTCTAAGAATGCAAGCAAAATTCCAAAATTAGAGTGTGAGTGCAACTCTAACACTCTGCAAGTCACCTCTCACAATCCTCACCTACCTGCAGAACGTGAACGACCATAGCAGGAGAGCTGTGACAGCCTGGGGTTCAGGGCTACTGCGGTGAAGGCCAACAGCGCTGCAGCTTAGCCATCCCTAAAGTGTGTAACTATGACTCTGCAGAACAACTGACCCTGCATCATCAAGGAAGTTCCAATTATAATAGAGATGCTTCGTTCAGAATGACAGGAGGGGCCAGCAAAGGGGATGGTGGCTGGAGTGCTAGACTCCCATGTGGCCAACTGTGGTTCAAGGTCCTGGACCTGGTGGTGTGCTTTATCACTTTCTCTCTCCCTCTGGCAAGTGCACGTGTCCTATGGAAAAGTAAAGAATGGTAATAATAATAAATAAAACTAAATTTGGGGGCCGGCAGGTGACATGGTCGTTAAGGGTACTGGACTCCCACATGGCCGACCGCAGTTTGAGTCTCAAACCTGTCGGCTTGATTTCTTACTTTTCTTCCCTCCCTCCCTCCCTCCCTCCTTCTCTCTCTCCCTCTCTGGGCAAAATTAAATAAATAAAGTTAAATAAAATAATTCTTTTAAAAAAATAAAAATAAATTTTAAAAAAGATGATGGGGGACCAGCAGATAACTGATGATGGTTTGAGTCCCAGACCTGGAGGCTTGAAACTCATGCTGGGCACAGGTGTATGAATGCCCAAAATCCAGAGAGAAGAATGACAGAGAAGAGATTTTGGTGTGGCCATCCCCTCTGAGGGTTGATTTCTCATTTTCTGCCTTTCTCTGTCTCTCTGGTGAGTACATGTGCACTATAGCAAAATATCTCTCTACAAAAAAAAAGAAAAAGGAAAAAAAAGACAGTGAGTTATGTCACATATGTAAGAAAAACAACTTTTTTGGGGAGGGGGGCATACATGCACACATGCCCGGCATGAGTTTAAGTCACCAGGTCCGGGACTTGAACCACAGTCAACTACATGGGAGTCCAGTGACGTAGCCATTACATCACCTGCTGGTTGCAGAAAAACAAATATTAACTATTAAAGGATGTGCAAATAAAAAGGAAAGTTCAGGGACTCACAGCAGTAACTTCCAGTTCTCAGAGGCCTGATTCCGGTGGTTCTAGCTGAATAGCCACAGTCACCCAGGGAGCTTTGAGAAGAACTCGAGTGCTGAAAAGCTCCCTTTCCCTGGCTCAGTTCCCTAACCCCCAGCCCTAATCTATTTCCTTAGTTAGATGCATGAATCCTAATCTCAAAATGCAAGAAACTTATGTCTTTGGAGGAAAAAAACTTAAAGATTTAGTTTTACTTATCATTATTATTTTTGAAAAGTCTGATATAGCGTATGTGTGCTCACGAGAGAGAGAGAGAAAGAGAGAGAGAGAGAGAGAGAAAAAGTGAGAAAACAACATGCTAGGTCTGAGACTCAAACCACGGTCGTTCATATGGGAAGCCAGCACCTTAATCACCACGCCTTCTTCCGGCCCCCTGTACAAAATATTTTTTAAAAAGTTGTTGGGGCTAGGGGACCAGCAGGTGGCATAGTGGTTACTTCACTGGATTCCCATGTAGTCGACTGCGGTTTGAGTCTCAGACCCAGTGGCTTGAAACTCACGCTAGGTACACGTGCATGCATGCCCACCAAAATCCCGAGAGGAGACTGGAGGAGAAGGGATTGCAGTGTGGCCATCCTCCCTGAGGGGTGATTTCTCACTTTCTGTCTTCTGTCTCTCTCTGTCTTTTCAGCAAGCACATGCACCCTACAGCAAAAAACTCTCTTTAAAAAAAAAAAAAAGTTGTGAGGCTGCTCTGTGGTGCAGCGTTAATGCACTACTCAGAGAAGCCAGATCCCATGTGGTGACCAAGGTTCGAATTCCCCACCTGGTCAGCATGAAACACGCCAGGCAAATGCACAAGGGCCTAGGACCCACAAGCCAGAGGACGGAGTAAGAGGACCGTGGAGTGGACGGACTCTGCAGAGGGCGCTCCCCATTCTCTTCCTCTCACACGCGCACACACACTCCATAGCGAATGAAAACAAAATAAAAACAAGCCGAGTTCTTGTAACAAATTAACCGAGAGCATATACCCTTACAGAAAAGAGCTCCTTCCACACCATCCATCACGTACCCAATTTGAGATGCTTAAATTCCGACTGCTGCGCAGAGGCACAGAGCTGATAGAAAATGTGGTAATTTCGTTCATTTTCCGACTGTAAAATAAAGAAAAGTCCCCCAGATTACACCAACTCCTCACAGCAAACATGCCAGGTCTCTAAGGAGAGGATCCTCAATGGCTAATCCTGAGGACAATTCCCCATGGGGCGTGGGGCTGATATTCATGACGACTCACAGCAGGCCCTCCCTCTCAGCCAGGTGGGGAGTAAGACACCTGGGACAGGCCTCCAAACAGACCCCAGAGGAAACGCTAGTAAATGAAAACAGTGTGTGAAATGAGAATGAGTGTTCTCCTCCTGGGCCAGGACGCTGAGAATTTCCTCCATTTTGAAACAGCTCTCCCCTAAAAAGCCCCATGCAAGCTCTAATCCCATTCCCTTCCTGATAGAAATGCCAGCCATATGGCTTTGTCTGTCACAAGCAGCATGTATGTGTCAGAAAAATAACCTTGACCTTTGAATGATAAGGATTTTCTAGGTGCCTCAGGTTTAGAATGTGAGCTTTTCCCTCAGGCATACAGCTCCCCTTGCTACAGCATCTCTCCGTCCAGCTTTTGCTTTTAATAAATGGGGGGAAAATCTAAACTGCAAATGAAAGGAGAACTTTATTTAATTCATAGAACAATGTAGGCTGTCTAATAGGTGCATAAATGTAAACAATACTTTAAAGTTGAGGAAAAGGAAATTTAACTACTCTTCTCATCCTTACTTGAAAGACAACTCTGGATTTCTCCAGGAGGTAAGTTCTCATGTTGGCGCCTATGATTTGATGTCTCTCGTCAAAACTGATTTCTGTGTACTTCCCAAACCGACTGCTGTTGTCGTTGCGGGTGGTCTTGGCATTGCCGACGGCCTGCAAAACACGGGACTCTCTAGGAGTAACATCACGAGAACTTTGCATCAAAACTACTGGAGCAGTTTTAAGTGAAATCCAGTCCTGTACACTGGGAAGTTTTCATTAGCAGGAGGAGGTCTGGGGCCAGGGAAGGAGAAGAGGAGTGTGAGGCTGACAGAGAACAGGCACGCCATGGGCCTGCGGTCAGGCTCTCCTCTACCCAGCTAGGAGAGGCCACACTGGATCAGGAAGAGCACTGGCTCTTCCTTCCCGTGGCCCTGGGTTCTGCCTTTGCTGTCTGTGTGATGCTGGAAAAGCTGCTCCTTCTCTCCAAGGCGGAATTTCTCTGTCTTTAATACGGGAATAATAAGCATCTTACTGCGGTGGACTGAAGGTTTGTAGACCGTCTCCCTCCCCCATTCCTTACACTGAAGTCCTCCTAACCTATCTGTTGGTATTTGAAGGTGGGCCTTTGGGCAGCTGTAGGTCATGAGGGAGGGCCCTCACCCCTGGACACTCAGTGCCTCCGTAAACGGGATCACCGAGAGCTCTCTCTTGCCATCGTGGGAGGGTACAGTGAGAAGATGTCGGTCTGTGGCCCTGACATAGGGCCCGACCTCTCACACCCTAACCTCCAGCACTGTGAGAAATAACTTTCTGTTGTTTGTAAGTCACCTGGTCTACGGTACTTTGTTAAACAGTCCAAGCTAAGACACTGACGGAGTTGGAGGACTAAATGAGACAACGTAAAGTACCTCCACTCATCCAGGCCCCAAATACCACAGATGCTCAATTCAAAGTTGACATCCAGGGGCCAGCAGGTGATGTGGTGGTTAAGGTGCTGGAGTTCCATCTGACCAACCGCAGTTCAAATCCCAGATCCAGTGGCTTGAAAATCACACCAGGCACATGTGCATGTTTACCCAAGATCCCAGGAAGACAATGGAGGAGAAAGGACTGTGGGGTGGCCATCCCCCTGGGGAGGGGATGACTTCTTACTTTCCCTCTGTCTGTCTCTACTCAATGAACACACACCTTATGGCAAAAATCTATTTAAAAAAAAAATAAATAAAAGATTGTGGGGCCAGAAGGTGGTATAGTAGTTAAGGCACTGGACTCCCACATGGTCAATAATAGTTCGAGTCCTGGACCTGGCAGCTCAAAAACAAACTGGGAGTATGTGTGTACATGCCCAGGAGAAGAATGGAGAGGGGGTTGTGGCCTGGCCATCCCCTCTGGCGGGTGGGGGGAAGCTTTCTCGCTTTCCCTTGCTCTCTCTCTGACTAGTACACATACCCTGTGGCAAAAATAAAACAGAGCAAAAAGACATCCTTCCTCCAGACCTTGCTCTCTCCTCACCCTTACTACTTTCCTACTCAAACTTTCTATTCAATAAAAACAAAACCCAAAAAACTGCGCTCTCTCTCGCATCCCTGCTACTCTCCGAGCATGATTTTTGCTTTTTGCCTCTGTTCTTGATTTCCGTCTCTCTCCACCCTGTGTGCTCCCTCCTGAACACCCTCTGTCTGCAAAGACCTGCTTCTACACCCACCCTGCAAGTCCTGCCCAGGGCGACATCATGCGTCAATTCAATAAAAACAAAACCCAAAAAACTGCGCTCTCTCTCGCATCCCTGCTACTCTCCGAGCATGATTTTTGCTTTTTGCCTCTGTTCTTGATTTCCGTCTCTCTCCACCCTGTGTGCTCCCTCCTGAACACCCTCTGTCTGCAAAGACCTGCTTCTACACCCACCCTGCAAGTCCTGCCCAGGGCGACATCATGCGTCAGTGAACACATAGGCACTACCAAATGTCATGTGCTCAGTTAGCGAAGGTGACCCAGACAGACATGGTCCTGCCTTCAGGAGCTCACATCCGGCGGGGGACAGCCCCTATCTAACCCCACAACACTACCCACTGGGCACTGCACTTGGTGCTTCTCCGCCACGGCTTTTCACCTGCGACCTTGAAATGTGACCGATGCTTCTGGCCCTGCCGTGCCTCCGGGCTGTAAACCTCACAGTGTTTACCAACTTCTTCCCCTCCCCCTTAGGTTTCTATTTCATTTTAAAACATGTACCAGCTTCTTCCCCTCCCCCTTAGGTTTCTATTTCATTTTAAAACATGCTTCTGAGGGCCGGCAGGTGGTGTGGTGGCTAAGGGCCTGGACTCTCACATAGCCAACCATGGTTCGAGTCCCACACCTGTGCTTGTGTTCTCTCTCTCTTTCTCTGGTCAAAATTGAAAAATAAAGACAATAAAGAAATAATTCTTTAAAAAAAAAACAAACATGCTTCTGTTACTACAGATTAGAGGAGTCTTAAACTTGGAGACTGGGTCTTACTCTTTCTTGTTCCTTTTTTTTTTTCCTAAAAGAATTATTATTTTTCAAACTTTGTTTATTTATTTAATTTTGACCAGAGGGCAGAGCAAGTGAGAGAGAGGGAAAGTGAGAGAGCAAGCTGCCAGCTCTGGGACTTGAACCGCAGTCGGCCACGTGGGAGTCCAGCGCCCTTAACCACCACGCCACCTGCCACCCCTCTTTCCTATTACTTGACGTACAGCCTATGCAAAGTAGGTGGCCTGATGAATATCCACTGAGGATTTTGATTTAAGAAAGCAGGAAGAGTTTAGTTCTTCTTATCTGCCAGGCTTCCAAATAAGTTCAAATCCACCCTTCTCCCACTGTGGGAGGCAGCCAGAGGTGGCTTTGGGGGCCCTCTCCTGTGCCTTTCCGATGCCCCTTCTCTGAGCAGTCATCTCACCCCTGGGCACTACCGTGGTTGGCCTCGCCCACCTCTGCCCCAGTCAGGGGTATGCTGGTAAACCGGCTCTTGGGGAGGGGAAGGAGGAAGAGCCTTGATAGGTGGCATGTGCTAGTTTGCAAAGCTCCTACCACTCCCACCACGACTGACTGAAGCTACCAAGGACGGCAATGCACTCGCGAAATCCCTCGGAATCTGACCACCAGCTCACAGACGCTGACGCCCCTTAGCTGGAGAACGAACGCCAGTGCACCAGTGAGGTCTGAGGTGAGGGCAGTCCCCCTGGGACCGCAGTGTAGACAGGGGACTTCTGGAATCCAGGGGCAGAATTTCTAGCCTGGCAAGAGGAGGGGAGAGAGAGTCTGGGAAGAGCGATCTCTGTTCCTACCTCCAGACTTCAAATCCCTCAGAGAACAGACGTCCCTCTGGCCTTTAAAGTGTGGGAAGTGAGTGAGTCAGGGACAGCGCACTCACCATGCCCATCTCCGGCCCCACCCCGCCCCTGCCATGCGCAGTGGCACGCACCTCCGTGATGGGATTGGACGCCAGGACCTTGTCCTCCACGTGAGCGTTGCTGCCCGACTTGCTGACGGTGGCGAAGTACCTCATGGCGTAGCGGGCAGACACGGTCTTGCCGGCCCCTGACTCCCCACTTACAATTATTGACTGGTTTCTATTGTTTCTAAAGCAAATAAATGAAAGGATTTTTTAACGTCGATTTCTCCTCATTAAAAAGGCAATATATGCTCATTGAGAAAACCACAGACAAGGTAGAAGAAGGGAAACTTTTGCTTCATCCCTCTAAGGAACTGTTTCCAACTTCGGTGGGTTTCCTTCTAGTCTTTTCTTCCCTGTGTGGTCAAGCAGAACGCACGATGTTGTTTCCCGCTGTGTGTACTCTGCTGTGGGTCCCGAAGACCAAGCCCAGGTTCCATTTTGACTCAGCTGACAGCTGTACTCATGGCTAAATGTACTACACCACAGGATAAAGAGCAAAATCGGAAAGAGCCCGTGGGTGAATTCCAGAGGAATTCCTCCCAGGAGCCCCTCTAGGATCACACAGGACGCACTCCACTCCTCCAGCAGTGGCCGTGACTGCGTGTGTGAAACACCATCTACCAGGGAAGCGCATCAGACACTGAGTGGCCGCCCTCTGCCGAGCACACACCCGAATTCTCGACTCCAAGGGAAAGCAGGTACTCAGCACAAATGCCAGTGTCTACATAAATATTTTAAACTTAGGTACAACAAGCCCCCTTTTAAAAAAAAAAAAATTACTGGATTTTATCATCATTATTATTATTTCTTAATTTGCTAGAGGGTGTGCATGCACCAGAGAGAGACAGAGAGAGAGAGTGAGTGAGAAAGCAAGCTGTCAGGTCTGGGACTCAAACTGTGGTCAGCCATGTGGGAGCCCAGCGCCTCAAACACCATGCCACCCGCAAACTCCCAATGAGGAAATAGTGGAAGCCCTTCTGAAATCCAGAGGCTGGCCATAGACCAACCTCTCCAGCAGGCCCCCACAGAGAGCAGTCTGGGGCCTGATGTCAGCTCCCTTCTACACATCCCACTGAAATACAAAAACATTTCAGAGACATTATTTTGAGAGCAATTATTCAAAATGTGCTTTGGAACATATGTGCTCTGTAAGCCAACCTGCTGTTGCATAATTAGAGCTTTTTTAAAATGGACTACACTTTTCACCATAAGATTAGATGGTGAAACCTTATCACAAAGCTGTTCTACATACCTAGCCCTGCTGTGTGCCAGGGGCCGGGTGAATACTTCATGCAGCATCTCATTCAAGCTTCACAACATCCTGACATATGTATCTATTTACAGTCGAGTAAAGTGGCCATTCAGAGCTAAAGTGACCTGACCCCAGGCACGGAGCACACGACCTCCCCTGAGACTGCTGGCCAGGTGTGGCCAGTGACTAGGTCCTGACTGATGAGCTGGGAGACATGCTTTGTGGGGTTTCTGGGAAATCTTCTCACCCTTTTCCTTCGGACAGGGTGTCACCTGGAATATGGAAGTGGCTGTGTACTACCTTGGCCCTGAGGAAGAGAGTCCCACCCCAGGGACAGAGGAGCCAGAGGGCACCAGGTCTCTGATAACTCAGAAGAGACAGCCTCACCCCGGACTGCCCATCAGACTTCTCTGCAGAGAGAGCCACACACTTCTGCCCTATTTAATTCACCGTTTCCCCCGATTATAAGCAGCGGAGCCAGGACTGGGTACCCCCTGAATGTCCGGCTCACAGAGGACACAGAGCCGAGCGAGACCAGTGCTGTCCTAGGGTTCCACGGCAAATAGCTAAAAGTACTGTACAACTCTCAGGAGACTGCTCTGTGTGAAAGTCCTTCTGCAAACTGTAAAGAGATCTCCTTCTCCATACTTTACGGAACACATGGAAGCCAAAAGGGAACAATAAGGAGAAAATAAGTGGCGTTTGGAGTCAAAAAAAATCTGAGCACGAGCTCCCACTCTGAGTTTTCCTTGCTGTGTGACCTTGGGCGATCATCCTCTGAAGCTCAGTTTACTGCCAGGCATCCAGCTCACTGCCTCTCCTGAGGGTGTCCAGGTGATGTAGGGGGTGCATGCCTGGTGCCTGGTTCATGGGCGGCTCTTCCTAAATGCTCACCAGCAAGACAAAAGCTCCACAAGGCTGTGCAAAAACCCAGCAGTGAAATTAGTGAACAGCGGATCTCCTGCAGCTAAGATCTGTGCTTGTCTGCACGAGGTCCTGCATCTTTGAATGGGGGAGGAAAAGAGTAGGATGACACACGATAGAGAGAAAGTTCCCATTCCTCCAACCAGACACGCTACAGGAGAAAAGTCTGCCATCCCAGGCTGGTGTCTGCGAGGAGGCACAAAAGCCAGGAATCACGGTCTCCACAGTCAGCTGCACAGAATGGTCACTTCCTCTTCACTCCGGGTAGTCTGTGCAGTGAAGTGCCCTCCCTGGCTGACTGCGGAGCCCTAGGGAGCTTCCCTTCACTGTGAGGGCCCAGCCAATGCACAGAGCTCTGGGGGAGCGAGAGGAAGCCCAGCCCACAGGAAGCTACCTGGCCATCTGCTTGTAGGCCTCTTCCGCCACGGCAAATATGTGCGGGTCCATGTCGCCCATGTTCTGCCCGCTGTAGGCATGAATGATGGCGTCTCCGTAGATCGGCAGCTGCTTGTAAGGATTCATGGCCACCAAAATGATTCCTGAGGGAGTAAAGTGCAGTTACAGGACTCTTTCTGCCCCTCGATTCAGGTTTTTTTTGAGAAATGCCAGTTCTGCCTTTTATTTAACTTTTTTTCCATAGCTGGGGCTGGCAGGTGGCGTGGTGGTTAAGGTGCTAGATTCCCCTATGGCTGAACATGGTTTTAGTCTTGGACCTGGTGGCTTGAAGATCATAACAAACAAACAAACAAACAAACAAATAAATGTTTAAAAACACAAAGCAAACAAACAAAAACCCTTTTCCCATGGCTTTAGGCAGGTCACTTAAATGCTCTGAATCTCGGTTCTTGGCCAATCATCTAGACCTCCAGGCTGTGCCAAGACTGGGTGAGATGGCGCACGGCAATGCCCCCAAACTGGGAGGCTCTAGCAATTTGCAGTGTAAATGTGACAATAATGTCACTGCCCACAGTGAGTAATACATGTACCAGGTCTGGCCAGCCACAGCAGCACACACTGGCCATCAGCGGGAGGCCACATGGGGGCCTGGATGAGATTACTGGCATGCCCTAAAGCTGAGCATGGTATGTGCCTGTGGCCCCAGCTAACTGGGAGGCTGAGGCAGGAGGGCCCCAAGTTCGCAGCCAGCGTGAGCAACGTAGCACAACCCTGTTTGTAAGAGCTGGGTAGGGAGGTGCTCCTGTGGTCCCCACTACTTGGGATATGAGACCCCGCTTAAACACATGTACCAGATCCAGTGAGAAACTCAAACACAAGCTTGGTCATGTCTATTTTCCTCAGTGGTCCAGTGTCAGTCTTTGTTTTTGTTTTTTTTTTTTTTTTTGGAGAGGTTTTCGCTATAGGGCACGTGTGCTCGCCAGACAGATAGACAGAGACATAGAAAGCGAGAAATCACCCCCCAGGGGGGATGGTTACACCGCAATCCCTTCTCCTCCATTCTCCTCTCGGGATCTTGGGCACGCATGCACACGCGCCTGGTGTGAGTTTTAAGCCACGGGGTCCTGGACGCGAACTGCAGTCGACTACGTGGGAGTCCAGCGACATAGCCATTACACTAACTGCTGGTTCCCGAAGTGTCAGTCCTTGTCGAAGGTTCTCCTTACCTAGACTCTTCTCTCTTTTTATAACAAAGTCTAGAAGCACAGCAAAAATATAAGTTAACACAAAACCAGGATGCTCTAGGCAGCAAGCGTGACAGCGCCAGCCCTGACTGACGTTCCAGAGCCCCGTCCTTACCACTGTAGGTGTAAATGAGTTTGGACTCCGCGAAGCGGATCCTGAGATTGTGGAGTACCGCGGGCTCATGGAGGTAGCTGAGGGCCGTGAGGTCATTCTCGCCCACGAGGATCTCAGGGTTCCGAAGTGGGGGCAGAGATTTTGGATCAATGGGATAATCCAGCTCCTGTGGACAGACAGATTTGAAATTCTAGAAATAAAGATTTTTGGTGTTTCTGTTGAGGCACTGTCCTTTGTCCCATCCACCTCCTACCAGAGTCATTGCAGACACTGAAAAACAAACCTATTCATAGCAGTGGGAAGATAATTGTCATGGCTGACCTTTTATTTGGGGGGGGGTGTGTTGTTGTTGTTGTTGTTGTTGTTTTTGCTATAGGGTGCTTGCGCTCGCCAGAAAGACAGAGAGAAACAGAGAGACAGAAAGTGAGAAATCACCCCCCAGGGAGGATGGCCACACTGCAATCCCCTCTCCTCCATTCTCTTCTCGGGATCTTGGGCACACATGCACATGCGTCTGGTGGGAGTTTAAGCCACTGGGTCCAGGACTTGAACCACGGTCAACTACATGGGAGTCCAGTGACATAGCCATTACACCAACTGCTGGTCCTATAGCTGACTTTTTATTTATTTATTTTAGCTATAGGGCATATGTGCTTGCCAGAAAGAGAAAGGGGGGAGGGAGAGAATGAGAAAGCACCCCCCCAGAGCTGCAATCCCTTCTCCTCCATTCTCCTCTCAGGATTTTGGGCACACATGCACACATGCCTGATGTGTTTTTCAAGCTGATGGAGCTGAGACTCGAACCATGCAGTCTACTATGTGGGATCCAGCCACTTTAACCATCACACCACCACTGGCCCCATAGCTGACTCTTGACTAATGAAAGGGCCGCAGCCAGGCTGAGTGCCCTGAGATGGCTCACCCTCCTCCTCTGGGCCTCACTGCTTTCATCTGTGAAGGGGGCTGGACCAGAGCAGGGTCCTCAGAGCCACAGAGGCCTTGGTGAGGGGTGACAGGGAAACTCCGTGAGCTACCCTGAATCCTACCACAGCGGCTCCACCTGAATGTAGATCGAATGTGGCGGCCATGGATGTTTTCACTTGGAAGCAGGATGCTGCTACCAAAATGACACGATGATGACCCTAGGTCTCTTTTAGCTCTGAGGATGTCGAACTTCTAATCAAAGTTGACAGACATGGTGGTGAGAAGTGTCTAAAGGAGCCGGGGGTGGGGTGGGTAGGGGGCTGTCCTGGTCCCTGGGGCAGATGAATCCTGTCTGCAGTCACACACGTGCCCAAGGACTCACGGCGCCCCCTGCAGGGCTGCCTGTTCCTGTCATTCTCAGCCGAGCTGAAGCTTTCCCAGGCTCGGCCCTTTTCTACCAGATGGAATCCAGAGCAGGTGCTCCTCAATCTGGCTGGGGCAACATTCCAATGAATCCATTGTGAACTGAAAATACCATAAATCGATGGGACCAGCAGATGGTGTAATGGTTACATTGCTGGACTCCCACATGGCCAACTGAGGTTTGAGTCCCAGACCTGGAGGCTTCAAGTTCACATCGGGTGCATGTGCGTGTGTGCCCAAAATCCTGAGAGAAGACTGGAGGAGAAGGGATTGTGGCATGGCCATCCCCCCAGGAGATGATTTCTCTCTGTCTCTCTCTGTTTCTCTAGCAAGTACACACACCCTATAGCAGAAAATCATCTTAAAAAAGAAGGTATTGTATATTAAAAATGCAGCAAATACACCTGCACCACCAAACATCACAGCTTAGCTCAGCGGTCCCCATCCTTTTTGGCACCAGGGATGGGGAGGGGGTGGAGGGTGGTTTATGAGAGTGCAAAACCTAGGTCTCTCTTATGTGCAATTTACACTAGGGTTTGCACTCCTATGAGAATCTAATACCTTGCTGATCTGACAGAAGCCGGACCTCAGGTGGTAAAGCGAGCAATGGGCAGTGGCTGGAAATACTGATGACACTTCCCCCGCCACTCACCTCCTGCTGTGTGGCCCCGGTCCTGACAGGCCACAGACTAGTACTGGTCCACGGTCTGGGGGTTAGGGATCCCTGGCCTAGCTTAACCTACCTTACATGTGCTCAGAACAGGCCTGGCAGGTGGTGTGGAGGTTAAGGCAGCTGGTCTCACATAGTCAACTTCATGGTTCCAGTCTTGGATCCAGTGACTTGAAAAACAGACTGAGCGCATGTGTGTGCCCATCTAAAATCCCAAGAGGAAAATGGAAGAGAAGAGATAGCAGCATGGCATCTCCCCTTGGGGGTGATTTCTCACTTTCTCTCTCTCTCCAGAGAGCACCCTATAGCAAACTAAAAAGAAAAAAGAAAGTGCTCAGAACACTCACATTAGCTGGCAATTGGGCAAAAGGACCGAACACAAAGCCTATTTTACAATCGTGTTGACTATCTCACATAATTTGTTAAATACTGTACTGAAAGTGACAACAGAATGGGACTACAGGTACTCACATTACAGTTTCTGCTAATCGTAAACGTGAAAAATCCTAACCCAAACCATCGTTCAGCCAGGGGCCGTCTGCGTTCCTAAAGTAGCTGTCTGAGCAAAGGTAAGGTCGGCATCTTTGTGGCAGGGGTACCACAGGCCGCTGGGCCTGCAAGTGTCAGGGCACTCTGGCTCCAGCATTCTCCCTTCACAACTGGGGGACATGAAGCCCAGAGAGGTAAAGCAACTTGAGGAAGGTCACCCAGCAAGCTTGTTTCCCTTCCACCTTCCCAGACTGCCTTTCCAGAGCACTGCCAGCTTCCTTTTGATCTCTGATCCTGGAGGTGGCAAGTGCCACCTCTTAGTAAGTGCTACTGTGCAAACCCCAGGATCCTGGAGGTGGCAAGTGCCACCTCTTAGTGGGTGCCACTGTGCAAACCCCAGGCCAGCACTGACTGTTTCATTTAACCCCCAACACTGCCTTCCATGGAGGGCGTGATTACCCCACGTAACAGACACTGAGAAAGATAGAGCTCGTCATCCTAGGTCACGCATCAGCACGGGCCTGGGCTCGCTCTATCACGGTGCCTCCTGTGATGCCAACCACGGTTTTGTGGGTTGGTTGGGCAGATTTTGTCTAAGGTGAACAGCTCGGAGTGACCTGAGCCAGCTAGATGCAGGTCCTCGCAGCTGCTCCCGCCCCGTGGTTACCAGAGCTACTCCATTTGTGGACCTGCCCCCAGCCAGAAGACTGCCATTCTACACACTCTTATTTTCAGAATAAAATCAAGGAAAAAAATGCTTCTATGTGATGTTTACTTTCCCTGTTTGAGTTTTTCTGGTTTTGGTTTCTACATTATTTTGCCAGAGGGCATGTGCTCTAGCAGAGCGAGAAAAGCGTCCTCCCGTGGTACATGGCCAGGCCGCAGCTCTCCTCCTTCCATCTCTCCATCCCATCAGGATCTGGGGCACACGTGCACATGGGCCCAGCATGTTTTTGAAGCTGTCAGGGCTGGGATCTGAACCATGGTTGGCCATGTGGGATCCGACCCCCTTAACAGACTTCACAGGGACAGTCACCCTGTTTTCTGTGTTAAGTCAACAACCCTCAATCTAGTTCAGTTATTTGTATTATGTGTGAGAGACACAAAGAGAGGAAAAGAGAGAGAGAAGGAGAGAGACAGACTGTCTTTGGGGAAGGGGGGAAATGTGAAGGGCAGCAGATTGACAGGTGGAGGTGACAGTTTCCAACAGCCGGCAGGCTTTGTCCTTCGTGGAGGAGACAATGGGTTGAGCTCAAGGGCAGCCAGGCTGCCTGCCCCCTCTCCCGCCCCTCCTTGGCCCTCCTGGGCAGCTCAGGGCCTACAGCCTTCTGACTGCACTACGAGACAATCTGCCACTGCAACTGCTGCCTTGAGGGTTTTCTCCCCAGCAAGGTCATCCAGTCCCTAATCAGAACCTCGACTGTACACAGGCGGTACTCAACAGAAGCTGCAGGGGCCACTGACGGGAAAGGGGCGGCCCAAGGGGAGCAGCAGCATTCTCTCACGGGCCGCCTCGCGTCTGCACTGCACACACGGACCGTCTCACCGACCTTCGGCAGCCCGCAATGATGCGCCTTGTTATCTCCCTTTCCATTTAAGGGAACCGAAGGGCTACTGTCCCAGACTCAGTGAGTGGCCATGCCAAGAGGATGGGCCCTTAACTGCTGTTTGTCTCCCTGCCCGGGATCTCAGGAAATGGCTTCCAGCCCAGCATGGTCTGATGGGAAACACTGCATCCTGTCTGTAAACGGGCCATTTTCGTCCATGCTAAACTCCAGCATTGCATATACAGAGGACCTTGCCCGCACGGCCTTGTGCATCCAGACAGCACAAATCCTCTGTCCAGTTCTATGTAAACGGGCCATTTTCGTCCATGCTAAACTGCAGCATTGCATATGCAGAGGACCTTGCCCGCATGGCCTTGTGCATCCAGACAGCACAAGTCCTCTGTCCAGTTCTGACTGCACACCTTCCTAGAGCTCCTCAACCTTATATTTCTTTTTATTTATTTATTTTAATTTGCTACAGGGCACATATACTTGAGAGAGAAAGAGAGAACCCCCATGGGGGATGACCATACCACAATCCCTTCTCCATTCTCCTTCCTCTCAGGATTTTGGGTACGCACACACATGCCCAGCATATTTCTCCAGCCACCAGGTGCAGGACTCGGACCACTCTATCAGCCCTGTAGGATCCAGCCACCTTACCCACTGCGCCACTGGCTGGTCCAGAACCTTCTGTATGTCTATACATTCATAGTCTGGCTTCCTCTCCCCAGTCTCCACTGACACCTCCTCCTCCTTTCTTCCTCTCCCCCTCTTGCTCTTCCCATCTGTGTTTTTTCTGCATCAGCTGAAGCCTCAGGCTCACTCGCCTCCAGTGTCTCATCTGTGCCCAGTCTCGCTGTGAGACCGTGACGCCACAGGGCTGACCACCGCTCTGGCTCCTCTCGGGCATGCAGCACACAGCACGGAGTAGGTTACGGTGTCTGCAGCCAGGCCATGGAGGGCGCGAGCTGCCTGCAGTATAGGGCAGCACGCGGCTGGTGGAAGGGGAGTAGGAGAGCACAAACCCATGGGAGGAGCCATATGGGCTATGACACCAGCGCCCACTTACCATCTGCCCCCAGCCCCCAAGCGCCTCAGTTACCCCTTCGTACACACCATCACCGTGACCAGCAGGGACCCTCACCGTGCCATCTTCCAGCAGGAGGCGCAGGGCTTTGTCACCGACTCTGTAGTCCCTTGCTATTTCAGCAGACTTCCAAACCTCTTCAGGATCGGGAATCCAGACCCTGTTGAACTGACCAATGGAATAAAACAGGTTTAATGTCAGTATTGTCAGGGAAAAAAAAAAAATACAGGCCATCAGATGATCAGACACAAGAAGGTTCCCTCTGATCACCAGGTCAGATCCTTCGTTAGCAATACTCTCACCTGACTTTTGCTTATGATGTAACCTTCTATGAGTCTGCATGATGTTAGGCTTAGCTGCTTCACTTTACAGGGCATGGAATTCCCAGAGCCTCCCAGATACACCTTGAAAACTGAAGGCCTGGGGGGGGGGCGGAAA